CATCGAATTAGTTAATTTTGGTAGTGTAGATGTTAGGAACTTTGCACAACCTACCCTTAATGCAGCAGTGGCAAGCATCATCCTCAATCATTATGGCTTTACCTATTGTAACCACTTAAATACAGATCTTTGTGGTACATGTTGCTCGGCAGAAGGAGTTGCTACTCCATTTGGAGGTAGTTGCATGGTTATTGGTAGATACAACTGTGGTCAATTAATACATAACAACAATTGTGTATTCGGGGGTATGAATTATAAACCCGATGTCATGGATAATATTAGGAAATTTGTTGACTATGATGATTACTGGCAATATGATTACTGTCAAAATAATGTAAACGGTTGGAGTATAAATGCAAGAGATTGTGTAGATGTATCGACTATCCGATGTTCTTCATATCCAGATGGTTGCGCATCTAATGATTGTGCTGCATATCAACCAGGAGGTTTTGCCTGCCCATGTAGTGCTGCATCAGGCTAATTGATATCCCGTGAAACGTTATCAATATGAAAATTATTATTAATTCAAACTAGTTTTTTTTTAAATTAATCAATTGAACTTGTTTAATTTGACAACGTGTTTTAAACAGGGTCTTAGAATGTTTAAAATAGATATATATAATTTAGAAAATAGACTAAATGCAATATAATTTTCAATTAAATTAAAATATGTAGTGAATTTCATATATATTTGCTAATAATTTTATTTAAATAATATAGATATATATATCTTTCTCTTGAAATGATTTAATTAATTCATATTTTATTTTTATTTTTATTTATTATATTTTATTTTATTTTTTTAATAAATATTATTGAATTATTTCTATATTTTAAATTTAATAAATAATTAACCCGGAAGAATAAACTTACTATTAAAATGAATCTAAAAAGAAACCTGAAATTAGGGATTTTAACGACCGTTTAAAACTTAGATTATTCTAATGACATTTTAAAATTTATAAAATTTATGTGGCGCATCTAGGGATGGGGACGGTTCTATCGGTTCCATTTCGGCTCCTCTTCGGTTCTACTTCGATTCTTCTTAAGTAAATTAAACTTTGAGCGTTAAGTTAAATTTATACTAATAGAACAAGCATCATGTGATGATCAATTTAAAAAAATTTTTTGACCGGTTATCAAACAAATTCGTCCAATTATTACCTTTAATTTGATGACAATCCGATTTTGAGCCGACTCTTGAAACCGGTCCGGAGTCGGTTCCGGTTCGATTTTTAAAATTGGTTAAAAATGGTTGTAACTCAGGGAAACCCGGAATAAGTTGAATTTATAATCGGTTCCAGAACCGTACTCGGAGTCGCTCTAGTTGAACCGTCCCCATCCCTAGACGCATTATTATCACGGACTTTTTTTTTTATTAATAATAAAATTCATAAAGTTTTTAATTTATAAAAAAGGTGTATTCTTTTTTAATTCGATTTACTATTCGAGATAATGAAAGAATTTGGTAATGCTTTACCGAATTTTATTTTTAATAAAATATGTTAATTCGCAATCTGCACGAGTGATGGAAATAATTTTGTTAATGATCGGCGGGGCGCATTTTACGTTTATCTTGTACATCCATAAAACCAAAAAGGGTATATCAATCAGACCCGTTCAAATCTTTTTTCTTTAGTAAACAAGTCTCATTTCTTTGACCGTTTTCGCGTAATTTCAAAATTGGGTTTATGAGTACATTTAATAATAAGTTACGGATAATATGAATTTATGTTTAAAAAAGTTTTTATAAATTGATTATTTTAAAATTAAATAATTGGTGGATTACATAAAGCGCAGCGGTAGTGTTAATAAATCTGGTTCCTCAGTATTGCTAGTCTTTTAGTCGAAAAAAATATTTTGGAAATAAAAATTAAAATAACAGTTTTTAAATTTTAAATTTTAAATTTATAATGTGATGAATATGATTTTCATTTATGCATGAATTTCCACTATACTTCATGATGTAAAATATTTTTAAGATACAAAGTGAAATGTTTCCGAGAGCCGTTTTAATACTATTTTTTTCAAGTCTTTTTTAATCCTTTTCATCTAGAAATTTACTCGTCTTTTTTTATTTTTATATAAAAAATTTGAACTTTACCTTTTATCTTTCGATGATACCAGGTAAGCTGATTAGGTCAACTGAGTAGAATGTGACTGTTTGGGTCTACTGATTCTGGAAAAAGGATCGGTTATGTATCTTTCTTGAACAGTCGAAATAAAATTAATTATCACTTGTTGTCGCCAACCCAACGTTTTTAAGATTTAAGATTTAATTTTTACATGATTATAACTTTGGTTATTAAACTTCAAATAATAAAGACTCCGACCAGAATTAATCGTGGTTACTGGTGAAAATGACGCAGTGACAATTTGGAGTTTATTAACAAACAAATTCAAGGTTCTTTAAATGGTAAAAGTGGACGAGGTGATAAAATATGTCTCGTGATTTTGTGACATTTCGTTACGCGGGAGAATCTTGAAGAAATCGTAGCGTCACACTAGTTTCGATAAATGACATTTATGGAATTGCCGTGATAGTCTTTCTAGATTTTAGATTTTAGATTTAATGTAAATAGACTTGATAAGAAGAACTAGATTCATGGTCATGGCCGGCCCAGGGGCCGGCCTTAATATTTGAAAGTGACATATGTATTATATTTAATTTATATAAATATCATTATTAATTTTACTTGTATATACTATTGTAATCAGTAATACTTTTTATTTATTTTTTAGCTTTTTTACTTTTTTTCGTTTTTATTTTATTTTTTTAGTTAGATCACTGGTTTTTTAGATAGAGAACTTGTCAAGAGTAGTGCTTTATTAGTACTTTATATTAATTCTTTAAAGAGCTGTTTCATTTTTATAAAAAATAATTATTGAACAATTTTATGTGTTTTATAGTACAATATCAGTATTTTTAATAAATGGTTCTCGGTTGTTTTTGGTGTTTATCGATGCTTTAATGAAGGGATTGGAATTCTATTTGAGAATCAATTATCATTTCTCAAGATTCAATGCATTGAATAAATGCTTGAGTGACCCTAAAAAATTAAATCCGAAATATAAAATAAAATAATCAAATTAAAGATATGTATATAGTAATTAAATAATATGAAATTAAATATTAGAATGCGTGCATTATAAAAATAAAAAAAATATAAAAAAAAAATCGCGAGCGATTAAAAATTAAAAAAAAATCAAATCGTAGAGGGTAGAATAAAAAATCAATAAATAAAATAAAAAATACTAAAAAAATTTAATTAAAAAATAAAAACGAACGAAATAAAAGACAAAAAACTAACAATTACATTTAAATTAAATAAAAATTAAAAAAATTTAATTATTTAAAATTTAAAATGGAGAAACTGATCGAACCTTAAAAATTCAGAACAAAAATAAAATATTAAAAAAAAAAAATACAAATATTAATAAAAATATAAACTAAAAAAAAAAATAAAGTAATATCGACGGCTTACCTTCATCGTGGTGACGGTAATTTATTATACCGTAATTATTTAATTTTTATAAATGGTTTTTTTACTTAGGCTAAGAACCGGACGGAACCTTTGAACGAAACTATCTGGTTCGTCATCGCGGCAAAGGTAAGCCGACACGAATTTTTATTTTTTATTTTTTATTTTCTTTTTAATAAATTTTTATTTTAGAAAATTATATCGCCAGTCCTTTATAAGCACGTGATATTCATATGATCATGACGATTGATTTTATTCATCTAATCATCTCAATAATTATTATATCTAATAACCTTTCGCCTTTTATATTCTTATCAAGAGTGTTTCTCTCATATTTAAAATATTTTAACATTTCTCAAAGAACTTTAGTGTTATTTGCGCAACTTAACACTATATTCCTTTAGGCGTATTCCATATAACCTACCTATTTCAGCTTATCTGTTGTTCTACACTGCCCTACAATAAATTACCGGATTTTATAAATTTTACTTAGTAATTTATAGTAAAATTGAAGATCTTCAGATTGCATAAATGTTTACTAATTTTCAA